TCTGGTTTACTGAATTATCATATTCCAAGTGAAATACCTTGGACACAAAATGACAAGTTGCATACAAGAAATAGAAATTTGTAGCAACAGAATCAAGACAGAATCACAGGTTGATCTTCTAGTCCAAGCCCCTTGCTAAAGGGGCAAATCCAGCTTACCTCATACCTAAAGACAGACATAAGCAAAGGCTTAGGACATTTTCTGAATAAGACTGGACCAGTTTTAATAAGTCAAGTTAAACATTAACAAGATAATAAAGGAGCTGTAAACACTATGATGCAATAGATTTTCAATATTACCATTACATTCAGAGACAATAAAACAGTTATTTGAGGACTTAATTCTGGAAAATAATTATTTATGCCCATCTTTCCATTGACTTTGATGAGTCTATTCAGTTGAGTTAACATAATATAGGGGTACTGTTTTACATTCAGTATTCTTGATCTCATGCTCTAATAACATTGCTGATTTATTTTGTCCATTGACTAATCCTTCTGACTTTCCATAATCGATAAATCGTAAGTTGTTTTTTGGAAGAGATGGAAGTGAAGCTATGCTGCTGAAGGGAGTAGGGAAAAAAGCTGGTCATTATACTTCTATTTGACTTTGTTTAGCAGTTTACCACAGGTAATTTCTTCCCAAATGAAGAATTATCATTTTAAACAGCTGTAGTTGCAGAGATAAATAAATTTATCAGATATAAAGTCTTTGTTAGCTTGTTTAAAAGAGATTAATGAGCCTGTTTCTGTTTTTCCCTAGTCACATTCTTGCATTTGAGGATGCTTCTTTGCAGTGTTCTAATGAGGTGGTAATAAAAGAGACTCTCTCATACTCTTAAACTCTGATGATTTTACATATACTTTTTTTTTGTAATTATATACCCTAATAATTTAGTAATAACAATAAAGTTCATGATGCACTACATACCAACACTTCAGATTTCAGAATGGAAAGTAATTACAAAGCTATTAACAACACTTGGTTTCTGTAAAAATACATTTTATCTTTAAACTCTAATGCTAACATTTGAGAATTTATTTCCTGAAAGTAATTTACCAGAAATTAAGTCTCCTTGGCTGTCTCTCCAGTTTCTGAATTATGTACACTTATAGTTTCATATGTTCTACTCTGGAAAGAATTTCCAGTGTTTCCAGGACATGTTGGGATTCGTTTGAAACCTTTCAAGCATGTAACCAAGATAATTAAATTCTTGAATTTGCTTCTTTCTCGCCCCTCTGAAGTCAGACCCCTGACCACAAGAGATCCTCATCTCTTAAGTAGTGTTTAAAAATCATATTTATTTTTAATAAATGGTAAGATCTGAAACATCCTAACTGAAGTTCTTTCAGCAGGAAAGAGCTACCCCATGATACACTAAATAGAAGTTTCAGGGACATAGAAGACAACCTTGAAAAGGACATAGTTTTTCAACTTCGTTTGCACTTAAAGGTTCAATTCAAGGATCAGAGCCTGAAGACAAAGAGTATATGGAAAAAAGAAAAATCTGTTCTTCTGTGTATATTTATAACTTCCTTGCATTTCTCACTTTTAACCCTAATATCAAGTTCTGTCCCATATCTCCCCTCATCTTCCTAAAAATAAAAAATAAACAATCCAACAAACAAAACACAGTAGTAAAGGAACATCAGAAATGAAATAAAAACTGAATATCTTTTTTCTCTGATACCGAATATCTTTTCGGTTATCTTTTTTTCTCTGAAACCGAATATCTTTTTTCTCTGATACTCTGTTTTCTAGATTATTTTTAGGACAGAGCATACAAATGTATGCATGTTAAATTAATAAATTATGCTTTGGATATTTTTGCAATCCCTTTAATCACAAGAACTTCCCACTGACTTGTGCCCCCACAAAGATCTGTTTCCTTGATTGATGTCAGCTCTTAGCAGAGAAAGGCATATGACTACCTTCAGGAGAATGCCTCTGAGCTCACCTAGACCAAAAACTGAAGAGCTGCTGCACCTGCAGAGAGTACAGGGTGACTCAGAAGTTTGGGGAATGAACATGTAGAAAAGCCCAAGTAATCATGAAATGGGAATATTTTCAGAGAATTTCAAATAATTCATTCACAACTGTGCTAGCTATGTAAAGTTGATGGTTTCAGAGTAAGCTTATGAACTGTATGCAAATGGGCAGCACAATTTTCTTATAAATCCCTTTATTTAAATCATACTACATGCACAAAATTTCAGAAGTTATACCTTATTACTATGATTTTTTGATAAAATCTAACAATTTTCAAAGTTTTTTGGAGTCCTAAATTTTAAGAAAGAGGCTACAGCTGTGTACCCCTACTAAAAGAGGATAATGAGAGGCAACAGAATTGTTATTTTCCATCTTCTTTATTCCTTTCCCTTTGAAAACAAAAATCTGTTCTTCTGAGGGAACAGAACCCACTGGCCATGCAATTCAAATATAATATTTAGCAGAGAACTAGTATTTTTCCCCACTATGGTGGTAATTATGCTAGTCCCTTCCGTTATATGGAAAACTGTGCCACTTTCAGAATCCATTGGACTCCAGTGACCAAAGGAAGCATAACACTTGCTGTACATAACAGCAAATTAAACAGGAAGCATTCTTCAGATACATGTATATAAACCATGTTGTTCTTTGGTTTTGTTCTTTTTTAATTTAGCCTGTTACCTCGTATCCATGCCTAAAATAATAAAGGTTCTCAATAAATTGCTTAGTTTTTCAGCACTAATAAACCACAGTGAAGGTCAAATTCTGGAGAGCTGCTTTTAAAAAATTTATATTCACTTTTGCCTCTCTATTTTTAATCTTTCCCTTTGGAATAAGAGATACAGCATTACTTGCTGAGAAGCTGTTTAGTGTTGCATTGCCTTAACACAAGGCCTTTCTCTGAATGTTAACAAAGTTTCATCAAACTTGACTGTATAAGAAGCAATTAAACTTCTACAGAAAAAAAAAGAAAATTAAGTATATTCTATTCTAATTCAATGTAGTGAGTGTTCAGCTGAGGTCAAGAATGAGAGAACGATGCAAGGAGTTACAACAAGAAAAACTGAGGACTTGACTGTACTAATATGGAAATCCATGGAGCATAATATCCATCGCCATCAGTGCTAGTTTTGGCCATTCCCTCTCAGAATTAATTAAGTGCAGAATGGAATAAAAGAGCAGAGAAGGGTAATAGAATGGACAGATATATTTGTCTTAGGACATAATTCAATTGACTGCAATTCAGTTGAATGAACAGTTGAAAAACTGAATGCAATTTGGGGGGTGGGAACTGTGAAGGCACAAAAAAAATCTGGAACATCATGGCAGATATAGGGAGAGCTAAACAGTAGCAACTATTTCTTATTTTTTGCAGAATAGAAGAGGAAACTCATAATACTGCCAGTTTGCAATTCAAAATCGTCAGAAGGAATTACATTCTACATTACAAAATGTAATTAGACAGTAAAACTCACAAGAGACACAATGTACAAATGAATTTTTAAAGGGATGAGATAAATTCATGAAAGAGAGATCAATTCAAACTACTGAATGCAGTGGTTTGATGGAGCCTCTGGCTAATAAAGTCATTCATCTGCTCATTGCTCAAAACTGAAGGGGAAGGGCTATTCTGACTTATTCTGTTTCTACAAGATTTTCTTAGCATCTGCTACAGAATATTGCTGGGAACAAGTCATCAGGCTAGACAGTCTTCAAGTTCACTGTGGCAATTTTGATTTTAAAAGGAATAACAGTATTCACAAATATTTCATTTTCAAAATCACATTGCAACAATTTCGCAAATAATGGCTTCTAAATCCAAATAGTTACAAATGCATTATCTACAGTACCTTATTTAGCAGATAAATACCCAGGCCAAACCAATTTCAATACTTACAACATATGACAAAGACAACAATAGATACTGGACTCAAAGCAGACATCAAAAAACTAATGTAAAAGAATTAACTATTTTAATCTTCTGGGAAAGCGTTGAGTGTACTGGTTTTAAAATTAGATACAAAGTGCAAAATCATTTGATATCACATGGTAATATGTACCATATCTTAAAGAAGTGAAGCAAACAAATATACCATGAGTGAACTGAATTAGATGAGAAAGAGTGGTATTGACAGAGCTCACCTACATGTAGTTTTACCTTCATTTCCATAGCATCCAACAGCAGTTTTTCCTTAAATATTGAAAACCCAATAGCAGAATCTGAAAATTCTAAATTTAAATTAGTCTTTTTTTTGCAAATATTGCTTATGTTCAAAATTAACTTCTTTCTTAAGTACAGTAAATTGACTGTTTAATGAATAACACGTAACGTGAGCTGCGTTTGAAGCTTTTGCTCAAAGCATAGCTTATTTTGCCTAAAGGCTACAGCTGAAGTTATGAAGTATCTTATTCATCTTACTAACTGAATGGATGGATAGAGGTAGTTTCATTTGATATTCATCACCATAGTACAATATAACCTTTCCACTGCCAGAGAGGATTATCCTTGAATTATATGATTAGGAAGGGAAAAAGTACTGTACGATGCACCTTTGGAAGAGCATAAAGGACTCTAAGAAGCTAGAAAGACAGCTGACCCTGCCTGCTGAGATAAATGGATGCAAGATGGGATTGAGCCCAAGGGCTCCATTCTCAGCACAAAGATTTCCACTTTAGGATGAGGAGCAATATCTCACGCAGCAAATATGGCTGTTTCCTTGGGAAGAACTGAGGGCTTGGCACTGCATGATTAACAGACCCCTGAAGAAATTTTATTTTCTTGATACTCTATGCCTTGGTGGAATTACTTATTACTTTGTGGTTTCTTGAATGAAAGACTGTTTTCTTAACTCAGAAGACTGATTTTCTTTATACAGGATGGTTCTTTTTAAGTAGATTTCCTTTATTGAAGTTAGCAGTTCTTTGACTTTCACAGTAATAGGAAACGTGAAGTGAGCTGACATCATCAAAAGTTCAACAGCAGCAACAACAACAACAACAAACTACTTAACTGTACATGGATTCTTTAAACCATTCCTTCTTCAGAAATATGTTGAAGTGAGCAATCCAACCATGCGGAACACATGCTGTGTTGCCATAACTCCACAAATAGCCTGCCAAAAATAACACTCTGCAATAGGTATGCAGCCTAGGACAGCTAGTAATAAGCCCCAGTTCCTGTCCCCACACCACAATGGCAGTGGCTCTTCCTTGCTGGCTGGTTTGACCTGGCTCCAGGCACATATCCATCACTCAGTAACAATCACAACATCAGCCCCAGTCAATCCTTCTTCACTCACCATGGCCCAGATGATTCAAAAGGTTGGACACCCATGGTATACATTCTTCTCTACCTTCTCAAAAAACCTGTTGATTCACTAAAGGTAAGAGTTTCCTCTAAGATAGTATAGTTTCAATAACATTCAGCAAAACTCAAAAAAATTTCAGTCATTTTTATTTTTTCTCTCTAGTAAAGCAGCTGTGACCTGCTGAAGACCCCATGTTGCTCAGAGCTCCTCATCATTTTGTCTTTCATGCTGAGCAGCACTCACAAGCCCAAGAAAGGGCTTATTCTGAATTCCCAGAAGGTCTTCAATGGACAGATGTACTGAAACTTCCAGACTGCATAGCTACAGTGTAGTCTATTTTACATAAGCCAGAGTTTCACAGAGTTACAGACTATGTTACAAAACAGACTACGATGAAAGCAACTCATTATTTAAGTTGAAAGAGTCTAAAGATTAGTCAGAAAATTTTAATGGCAACAAATAAAATTTTACCTCTTGCTGTCCTTGACTTTCTCTGTTCCCTCAAAGAATTTCCAAAGGCATCAACTGATCTAATAAATGAAACACAGCTCTGACCTAATGTAGAGGAAGACAGTTTGAATTTGCCCTAACCTGTAAACCAGTCACTATTCACTACATCACAGATTAAGCTTTCCCTGCTGTTGTATTAAAAACCTGAATAATGCCTGAAAATCATGGAAATAGAAAAGGAAGCATGTCAGTATTGCCTTCTTTTTTTTTAATCTTACGCTGAAATTCACTTCATATGCCATCTAGGCTAATCAGTCATTTCCTCAGAAGAATATAATAATGTACAGTCTTTTGGAAAGTCACTCTTTTGAAAGACAGGCACCCTACCACACACAACAATTTATACATGAAGTCTAGTGAGTAAATTGCTACCTGCTACTCTTCTCCAGTGCTGTTCTGATGGCTACCCTTGAATCAACTACTCAGCACATAATTCACAGGTGTCTCTTTCACAAATTTCTTGATTTCATACAATTCTCTTTCTAAACTCTTCAAAGTAGCACCTTGTTCAAGATTACACATAAACTCTAGACCACAGCTCAGAGTCAGGATGTCTGTCACAGATAACTTTGAAAAACTTAGCCACACGTTCTTCCTGCTTAATTCAGGTCTAAGGTAACTATGATCCTCTTGTACTAGGTCTACAGCTCACCTCACAGACTCAGAAAATTGCAGAAGTTGCAAGAGACCTCAAGACATCATCAAGTCCAACTTTCCTGATGAAGTAGATTCCCTGCAATCAGTTGCACAGACATCTCAAGGAGTTTCTCTATACAAGGAGACTCCACAGCATCTCTGAGCAACCTGTTTCCATGCTCCGTCACCCTTACTGTAAAGAAGTTCTACATGTTTGCATGAAACTTCCTATGTTCAAGCTCTAGACCATTGCCCCTTGTCCTGTCACTGTGCAACCCAAACAAGAGCTCTCTTAATTATCATGGAATAGGAATAATCCTTTACTGTGCTCAACATACATCTTATATATCCTCCACTAGCAAGCAGTAATCTTCCACAAACAGCTCATCGGCTTCAGATTGTACCAAGCAACAGCAATAAGGACAACAGGTGACAAGATCAACTGTGCTTATCAGGAGAAGAGGGTAAACAGAACGTCCTGTTATTCTTCAACTGCAGAGTTTGCTCTTTGTTTTAGTTTGCTGACTCCCAAAGTTTCATAGCTGCAAGATCTACCATGGACTTTGCTGAGCCGCATGGCAGCTACATCTTCACCCACATCTCCCCTTTCTTTATTAATAAAAAAAGTGTGGTTAATAGCATTTCGTATCATTTTCTGTATACTCTGCAATAAGCACAGAACACAAATGAGAACACAAAGAAAAGCAATGAGACAAACTAACTCTATTTTTAGCAAATTCCATATCCATCCTGCAAGACCCCCAAAGAGACCCCCAAATATATTCCATCCATTGTCAACCTGCAGTTTTTCTACCCTGTTCTGCAAATCTAGAATGCTCGTGTACTGATTCTGAATGATCTGACAAATTCATACAACTCATACCATCAAAGTCTTGGCACCCATGATCTTGAGCTAATAGTAAGAAATCTATGGCAGTACGATTCTGTAGTGTAGCATGCCTTGTTGAGTCTACATCTAGTAGAAGTCTGCTTAAAGCCAGAGAAGTAGCATTCATTTTCTTGGCCAGCCAACATCCGAGCTTGTTAAGAGTGCTCAATGCTTTAGCTGAAGCAACACCTGAGGCTAAAAAGGATGCTATTATCCTTCCAGGATTCCACAACTCTACAATATCCTTGCAATCTGATTGAAAAGGACGAGTAGTTCACTTAAAGTGCTTTCGGTGGTGAGTAATCATGGAAACACTGGGTGGTAGTTAAGTTAGTCTTCCTAAACTGCACAGACCTCCTTTGATGTGAGAGGAGCAGGCCAAGCCCTGTTCCTACAAATGAGAAAAACACTTGCTGACAAGCTAAGCAGGTGGTTACTAGATTTTGAAATGTTAGCTGAAGTATAATTACACCAAGCAGAGCAATTTCTATAAACTTGAATTAACACAATTAATCAGTGACTGATTCTTCCCACTATAGTTAAAGTACATATCATAGTCCATTTTAACAGATCCCAACAACTCCAGTTATTCTGCTGCTGATAGGGTACATATCCATCCCAACTGTCAACCACATTGCTCGTGTTGGATGTTACCCCAAAAGGGGCACTAGGGATGGGTCATTTGTCTAGGGGTTGTCCCCTTGACCAAACAGGTCAAGAACAGGTTCTCTGGTGACGCAGTCAACAAACAAAGTGTGTCTTGTCCTGTGTTGTTGACTAGGGTGACCCATATATTCTGTTTTGATTGAGCTGGAATCCAAACTGCTGATGAGAGCGTTGTGATCAAGTTACAGCAGACGGCTGGACCCATTGTGCTGGCACCCATCTTGGACCCGTTCCTGTTGAGACACAAGCATAACCTCAACCCCAAGTTATCAATGAGCAAGGCCCTTCCCCTTGGTTAGTGCTCAGACTTTTTTTAGCATATCTTGTGTTCTTTCCTTGACTGGAGTTAAAGTATTACAATCAAAATGCCCTCCCCTCCCTTCCAGCAATTTAGAAAATAAAGAACATAGCATGTTTTAGCTACTCTTTCCAGAGGAGTCATACCTACACCCCCTTTTTTGTTTTTAAAGCATGGCCTTTAAAGTGCCACAGGTCTGTTCAATAATGACTTGACTTGTGGGAGAGTGGAGTATGTCTGTCAGGTGTTGAATACCCCACTGCTGAAAAAAGGAGTGGGTAGTGTGGGCTATGTATCTTGGCCCACTGTCTGTTTCAATCATTCTAGTGACCCCAAGGGCTGCAAAGGCTAATAAAAATTGTTTACACACTCATCTTTTGCTTTTTCCCCTGTATGAGCAGCTACAAAAATACAAGTAGAAAAGGTATCAATGGAAACATGAATGTAGCAGAGCTTTCCAAATTCTGGTAAACATGTACCATCTGTCTGCCAAATTTCTAAGGAGTTCAGTCCTCAGGGATTGATACCTATGTCTGGCCTCGTCCGTGGTTAGCTGAAAAGCATGCTGGCAATGCTTTTGCATTTTGGCGGTAAAGTCATGAGATAAGTATGGTTAGGCAAACTGATCAGGAAAAACAACAGTTCGTGCTAGTTTGTCTGCCTGTGCAGACAAACTCTTGCCTTGAAAAAAATAGGGCCAGGCAGAGAAGAGTGAGAGCAAACATGCTGAATAAAGTAAGGTTTTGAGCAGTGGTCCAAAAACCACTTTGTCTAACCCACAGTTACATCTTCACCCACACCCCACATCCTATCACTGTATACGACTAAAAAGAGTATGGTCTCATCCATTTACCTCCCATGTCTCTTTATAGAACCACAGAATAATAGAATCATAGAATCACCAAGATTGGAAAAGACCTACAAGACTATCCAGTCCAACCATTTACCTATCACCAATATTTAACACCATGTCTCTCAGTACAACGTCTAAATGTTTCTTGAACACCTCCAGGGTTGGTGAGGTTGGTGACCCAACCACCTCCCTGACCACATGGAGAACAGTGGCACAGCAGCTGCTGCCTGATAGGGCCGTGCCTCAGCCAACCAAGGCCATTCCCTGCCTCGCCACAGAATGCACCTGCTGCAGAGCCAAGTACCTTGGCAAAAAGCATAGATATTAATAAACGTTTGTCAGATTCCCCACCCCTCCCCCAATCTTCTCTTCTCCAGGCTAAACAGGCCCAAGTTACTCAGTCTTTCCTCATGTGAGAGATATTCCAGACCCTTAATCATCTTTCTGGCCCTCTGCTGGGCTCCTTCCATGAGATCCCTGTCTTTTTTTGAACCAAGGAGTTCTGACTGGACACAGTAGTCCAGGGCAAAGTACAGGGGGAAGATCATCACCCTCAAACTGCTGGCCACATTCTTTTTAATGTATCTCAGGAAACCATTGGCCCTCTTGGCCACAAGGGCACACTACTGGCTCATGGCCAACCTGCAGTTCCTCAGGCTCCCCAGGTCTTTCTCTACAGAGCTCCTTTCCAGCAGGTCAGCCCTTAACCTGTACTGATGCATGAGCTTATTCCTCCCCAGGTGCAGGGCTCAGCATTTAATCTTGTTAAACCTCATCAGGTTCCTCCCTGCCCAACTCTCCAGTCTGTCCAGGTCTTGCTGAATGGTAGCACAGCATTCAGGCATGTCAGCCATTCCTCCCAACTTTGTATGATGATCAGCAAACTTGCTGACACTTTATCCCTTCGTTGAGGTCACTGTTGATGAAGATGCTGAACAACACCAGACCCAGCA